TCTGTGGGACATGAGAGCAGGACTATACATGGCCACTATATTGTTTCCTGTTCTGAACCTTCCATAAAACTTGGCAATTGTGCTAGTCCAATGATTCTCAACCAGGATGGTATGAGATTCTTTTAAGGGCGTCTCAGGGTGGCATGCAATATTAATCCTGTTAAGTGTGCAGACACCTACACATGCTTCACAACATAACTCAGAGGCCACATCCACACAAGCACAGAAGTTTGTTTCCCTAGGGACAAGAAGTAGCAGCATAAGGTATGATGCTGCTTTTTGTTCCTGGGGAATACCTGTGCCATGCGCACGCTGGCATGTGACAGGTTACTCTGGGTGGAACAGGAATATCATAGATGGAGAAGGTGGGTGTGCAGATATGGTGTTTTGGGTGGTCTGCGTTGGTGTCAGTGCTCTGCCCTGTCATGCAATGCTCCTGCACGACATCTCATACCTCTTCTTTCAAGCCAGGAGGTGAGCTTTGGGGGAAGTGTTGGCAAGGTCCATAAAGGAAGGCTTGGCTTGAATCACAGCACAAGAGTGTGACCACAGTGTCTTCATCTTTCTTCTTCAGCCAGTCATGCAAAGTTTGACCCGAGCCAGTCATCCACCTTTTCCAGCAATGGACAGACTTACGCTTTCGATTATGGCAGTGGTGACTTGACCGTGGTGATGGGTTATGACACAGTGAGAGTAAGTGAAGTTGCCACCATGTGATCTTGCATTGTCATTTGTGCTGTCTCTTCGGACTCATCCGAGCGTAGTAGGGTTGGACGCCAAGGGGTTATTGTTAGTAATTTCTTGTCTAGCCTGCACCTTCCTGAAGTTTGCAGGTGGGAATTGTGGCACATCCCTCTAGCGTGGGGCTGCGAGACGTGTATCGGAGGAAAATTGGTGTTCAGTTCATCCCTGTTTTTTACCTCTTGGCACTTGATCTGTGAGTGTTACATTTCTGATTAAGCTATTGTCACTGCAGGGCATAAAAAGTGATTTTTGTACATGAAAAACTTGCACAGGGAAATGATGGCGCGAACTGAATCTGATTTAGTTAAACCAGTGCAAACCCCTGTATATGGACATTTTTATTTTGGCTTAGAAGATTTTATTTTGAACAGCATAGGTTGATCTCGTTCATTGGGTTAAGCTAAGCGGAAAGATAGCCACTCCAACTGAAATATAAGTGCTCGTGATGAGGTTTACCCTGGTTTAACTAAATCAACTTTGTTAAAAAAGCACAGTCATTTCATATACACAAAACCAAGGCTAACCAGAGCCTAGGGCAGTCTGTCAGATTATCAGCGAGTCTTACCATTCCTACTCATACCTTGCTTGGCAGTATATCTCACTTTGCGGTGTTCACCAACATGAAGATCTTGATTTTTTTTTTTTTTCTTGATTGAGATGTCTTGATTTCAACATACTTCCACCACTGGACCAACTAGGTTCAACTGTGGACAATAAGCTGAATATTGGCCTACAGTATGCCCTTGATGTGAAGAAGGCTAAGAGCATACTGGGGTGCATTAGTAGGAGCATTGCCAGCAGACTGAAGGCAGCGATTCTTCCCCTCTGTTCGGCACTGGTGAGGGAGTCCTGTGTCCAGTTCTGGGCCCCCCACTACCGAAAGGATGTGGACAAATTGGAGAGAGTCCAGCAGAGGACAACAAAAATGATTAGGGGGCTGGGGGACATGACTTCTGAGGAGAAGATGAGGGAACTGGGCTTATTTAGTCTGGAAAAGAGAAGACGAAGGAGGGATTTGATAGCAGCCTTCAATTCCCTGGAGGGAGGTTTGAAAGAGGAGGGAGCTGGGCTGTTCTCAGTGGGGGCAGACGACAAAACAGGGAGCGATGGGCTCAAGTGGCAGTGAGGGGAATTTAGGTTTGATGTCGGGAAGAATTTCCTCACGAGGAGGGTGGTAAAGCACTGGGACAGGTTAGCCGGAGAGGTGGTGGGATCTGCATCCTTGGAGGTTTTTAAGACCCGGCTCGACAAAGCCCTGGCTTGGGATGATCTAATTGGGGCTGGTCCTGCTTGGAGCAGAGGGCTGAACTAGACAAGCTCCTGAGGTCCCTTCAACCCTCATTTTCTGTGATAATATGATTCCATGAATTGCTTATGGAAGCACTAGTTCCCCCTTTATCTACACATGAGCACTCCTTCTCCTTCACACTGACACGGTCTTTTGATTTCCTTATGTCAAATTTTAGGTCAGAGCAAATGTTTCCTTCCCCTCCAGGTCCAGAACATTGTGATCACAGACCAGGAGCTTGGTCTGAGCACGAGCGAGCCCACCGAGCCCTTCTACTACTGTAATTTTGATGGGATTCTTGGCATGGCCTATCCGGCCCTGGCTGAAGGCAATGGACTCACAGTTTTGCAAAGCATGATGCAGCAGGGCCAGCTGACTGACCCCCTCTTCAGTTTCTATTTCTCACGGTACGGTCTCCTTCTCCAGCTGTATCTCCTTATCACCTAGGCCCATTTTTCACCCTCCACTTTCCAGCAATATACCTGCTCAGTAACTGGTCTCTTTTTGATGTTCTTCCCCCGTGTGTTGCCAGCCAACCAACCTATAGTTATGGTGGGGAGCTCATCCTCGGAGGCATTGACACTCAGCTCTTCACTGGGCAGATTACATGGACGCCCGTGACCCGGGAGCTCTACTGGCAGATCGGCATTGATGAGTAAGTTTTGGTGGCACCTTTCATTAGGCAACATGTCTTTTCCACCCGGTTGTGTATAAGGAGACTCTTCATCTGCAGTCAACTGCCTTGTGCCAGCTCAAGCTCTCTGGGGAGAGACTGAAGCAAGCAATGGAAAGGCTGTGCCATGTCCTAAGAATGAAGTGACTGCTGCCTACACGGGCTCTGGACTTGGTCCAGGGACAAACTTTTTGGCTCTGGATGTCAGCTGCCTCAAAAGGGGTTGGACCCAGGGTTTTTGTTTAAAAGCTCCTGTCATAAGAGCATTATTAGTAAAATGAGGCCTAAGCAGGGACTTAATCTGTAGCGCCCAACCGCTTAATTGACCATGCTTAAAGATTCGTGCCTGGACTAGATGACCTCCTGAGGTCCTTCCCAGCCCTAATTTCCTATGATTCTGTACTGAACAGAGGTGGGCTTTGCTGTGCTCCGGCAGCTAAGCCCGGGCTTAAGTGCTCTGCTGAGCAACAGTTCCTGTCTGTGTCGATCGCGGGGCTTTGATCTGCAGGTGACTACCAGCAGCCTTGCTGCCTTGGCTCAGCCAGCGCCCAGGGCAGCTCTCCTTGCTGCTGGTTTTTGCAGAGGGGGTCTCTTGTGCTTGCTCCTCAGGTTCACTATTGGGCAGAGTGCTACTGGCTGGTGCAGTGAAGGCTGCCAGGCCATTGTGGACACCGGGACCTTCCAACTCACTGTCCCACAGCAGTTCTTTGGAGACTTCTTGGAAGCCGTGGGTGCCCAGGAGAGCCCCGACAACGTAGGTGGAGCTGGTGCCTTGCTGAGCTATTGAGGATGGCTGGGAGGGAGTTTGCAGGGCCTGATACAAGCAGCATAAGTCATAAAAGGCTTATAATACTAAGTGAGATCCATGGCTGGAAGCTTAATGCTGGGATACTATACAGGAAGAGAGAGTTTTCCTGGCTTGATATCTGCGGGGGGAGGGAGATCATGAAGTTTCTCAACCCAGTGCAGATCCAAAGTAACTCTGCTGAATTTAATGGGCCAGCTGGTGTAACTCAGTGCAGCACTAGCAACGGCATGGAAATTTACCCTGGGAGAGGAGTTGGCCCAGTGTGAGAGCTGGAGCCAGCCTGGGGAGTGCAACACGGCTACTGCCCACGTCTGAGTCAGGGGAGTGTTGTGCTGCCCACTCGATGGCACAGCATTGCAAAGTGGTGCCCACCTTTGTTATAGGGGATGGGTCAAGGCCTTGCAGTGGTTGCTCCCCTGTGCTGGCGGGGGCAAAGTCTGTCCTCCAGGTTTCTGCAGCTGTGATGCCCTCTTGTCCGTTCCTCCCACAGTATGTGGTTGACTGCAACAGCGTCCAGAGCTTGCCCACCATCACCTTCGTCATCAATGGAGTGCAGTTCCCGCTGCCGCCTTGGGCCTATGTCTCCTACGTATGTATTGTTTGAACAGTGTACCCAAGTTGTATCTCAGCAACGCAATGTTGCTGTTAGGATTTCAGCAGGGGCTGGGGTTTCCGTGCAAGGGCAGAGACTTCTCTGTGACATGGCAGCTCTGACTGACTCCCATTTTTCTCAGCATCCCAAAAGTTAGATTTCTAAAATAGGGGCCTGATCAGGCTCCATTCAAGGGCCACTGATTTTAAGGGGTATTTTGTATGTAGCCTTGATAGCAGCCAGCAGGGTATTCACACACCAGCACTAAAGATTTCTTCATTGGTGTCTCCCTTACAGTCAGACGGCTATTGCAATCTTGAGATTGAGCCCACTTACCTGCCTTCCCCGAATGGGCAACCGCTGTGGACCCTGGGTGATGTTTTCCTCAAGGAATATTATTCTGTCTTTGATATGGGTAACAATAGCGTTGGCTTTGCCCCATCAGCCTAGAGAAACCAGGCATCTCCCAAGTTGGATGGACGCAGCTCCTTCCCTGGCTCGATGAAATGCAATTTGCTCCTGGGTACTGATGGAATCCTATTAAATGTGTATCAGTAGTTCCTATCCTACTTACTGTGTTGTACGAACAGATCCTATCCTTCTTACTGTACCTGAGATATGCAGCCTGAGCATCCCTCCTGGCTGGGTATTGTAATCGGTGCTTTTCAAATCAGCTGTTGCAAATAAACTGCAATGAATCAAATGCTCTTCTACCTTCTTTGTGCGTAAAGAGACAGCACAGCTGGTTAGTTGTCAGTCCTGGCGCTGATTATCATTCATAGACTGTTAGTTCATCATTATTCTAAAGCAGCAAGCTAAGCGCTTTATATATTTCCAGGCAGATTTTCTAAGGAGCTCAGCATTCAGCAGCTCTTGCTGAGAACATGGAGAATCCCTCTTGTGTGCTTAGTGGAAACCACATTTCAATAAATTGAAATCCTCTGCAAAATAGCATGACCTTTCCAGGCCCCTGGGAGATTTCAGCGTGAAGCGTGGTTCATTCTTTGCCTACAGCATATTGTCACTTTCTGCAGTATTCACTGGGGCTCAAATACTGCCCGGACAAGTGCTATACTGGTACCTTTATGCTGTAAAATAGAAAATCCTGTAAATTGCAAAGTATCTGTTCCTGCCAGAGATGCATTTTACCATGTGTGGGTCCACTGGATGAGGCCTACAACTCATATTCCATGGCACTCTCAATAGATTAGGGAATTGCTCTGATCACTCTGTTTTTGTTAAAGATTACATCGCATTAGCAACTAATTGAATGGTTTTGCTGAATTTGAGGCTTTACCATGCTAGGTGCTGTACAGACACAAAGTGGCCAGTCTCTACTCCACATAAATTGAGGAGGGGGAAAAGAGGTGCGGTGAATTATCCAAGGTTATGGGAAGAGCATAGAATAGGGCTTGGGTCCCCTGAATCCTAGCCCAGTGCCTAATCCATTGGGCCACACCGTCGCTGTCTCAAATATCCTAACAGTTGTGCAGCCTAGTCTGTTCCACTTTGCTGCCATCGTCCACCCCAGAAGAAGCTGCATTTCAGAGGCACTGACTGTAAGCACTATGCAAAGATTACTGGCGCTCCCTCTACAAATGTGAGGTTTCCAGTCTATTGTTCTTCACATCATTCTGTCTCTATGAAGGAAGTCCAGACCCCAAGGGCTAAGGATCCGCACACACAGTCGGAACAAAAAAGCCTAAACTTGGAATGAATCACTTTTAATGCTCTGCCAGTCTTTCTGAAGCTCTCAGCCACAACAAACAAATAGCCCCTTGCTTAAAAAAGAAGTGGTTATAACACGTTTTGAGCTACACATTATTGGTTTAAAAACTGTAATACAGGAGATTTAGGACTGATATCAGACAAGAGCTCTCATTGTGAGGACAGCGAAGCTCTGGACTAGATTAGGGGAGCTGCTGAACCTCCATTACTGGAAGATTTTTGAAGCAGGGTAGATGTCTCTCTCTCAGGAATGGTTTGGTAAGAGTTGAAATGCCTTGAGGCAGGCCACAGACTCGATGACCTCCCGGGGTCCTTCTGGCCTATAGTCTGTGATCTTAGAATTGTCCCTCTGCTAATGCTTTTCCCTCTAGATGCTTTTAGAAGCACCAAGGACATCTGCAACTTCACTTAAGTCATCCCATGTCATCCTGCTCTGAAACTGCAGACACGGCAGCCCCGGTACCCAGCTCTGTTTTAAATCTGATTCCTTCCACTTGTAATGGAATGCAAATAACACTTCAGTTATTGGTTCCTAAATTATACCGTCAGATACTGTTGTCATCTACGTATTAATTATCTGAAATCTTCCATATTACTCTAATGATCCAGTGACTGTGTGTTTTGCACTGCTCTGTATGCTTACCCCATGTCAGTTCCTATAGGGTCTGTCCTGGAACCAAAAACCTTTTCTATTGTAAGAGTTTCCCACAACAACAACACAAAGTTGGTTAGCCTCCACAATGTGTTTTCGGTTTGACGCACAATTCCCCCGACGCTCTTGCAGCTCTCTGGCCTTTTCAGTACCAGTTTCCATTAAAACAGCAAGTCTAAGTGCACATGTTGGGGTCAAATCTCCCTAAGTCAGTAACTGCTTTTGGGGTCGTTTTACGTTGCACCTGCTACACTGATGTCCATTAATGCATCGTTTTAACTTTCCTCCCAGACAATCTTTTGTCAGTTCCCTTCAGCCCTATATTCAATAATAGTTTCATTTTCTTTTTGATTCCATCTGCAAATACTCAAATTGTGTAGTGTCCCATGATCTCAATGAATATCTTGTTTGCTGGTTTAACAGCAGCTGTTCAATTGTGCAAAAGGATAAAGGTCTTTAGACTTTGGATACTCAGAAAATGTGCCACTTTTTTCTCATTCCTGATACTAGCTGGTTTCTCCCTGAAGGTGGCTAAGTCCTTTACAAAGGAGCTATCCATTTTCTCCAAGCAGACATTAGACAGAAGTGCAGCTCCCTGCTGTAACTCATGGCACTTTGCGGGAAGTGCTATAGGCACAGACAGAAGAGCAGCTCGTCGTTGCAACTCATCGCACTTCTTGGGAAGTGCCATGAGTTACAGCAATCCTCCAAACCCAATAGACATTCACTGGTGGGTCCTGGAGGTTGGGAGATGGAGCTGCTGTTTAGAGTGGATGCGAGCCTGCAGCTGCTCTTCCCTAGCAATGCCCCTCTCCCCTCCCAGACCTTGGCAATGTTTGCAGAATGGGAGGGAGGAAAGAGAGCGGAGGGACCTTGTTCTGGAGATTGCCCATTCAGTGCTGGAGGGTGGGGTGGGTGGATTGGAGCCCCCCCACCTTGGGGCGGGGGGAGTCCAATCCACCCACCCCACCCTCCAGAGCTAGCTGAAAAACCCCCCAGGCCTAACATTCTGAATGGCCCCCATTCTGAAGACAGCACTAGGAGTGGGGCTGAGCTGTATTAGCTCTGGTGCACACAGACAGAAGTTACTGAGGATGCTTTTTTTGGGAGTGTCTTCATCTGAACCCTCATGCAACGAGGGTTCAGATTCTCATAGGATCAGACCCTTTTAAAGTGCTCTGCTACCATGCACTTGTGTTTGTTCATGGCTATAGAGTGCTTTCAGGGGCCAGATCAGGCCAAAATTGTCACTTCTGTCTGATCCTTGTTTTCCTCGAGTTCCTAGCCTTGCAGGTAACAGATTCTGTTTTGCTTTTCCTTGGCCTCTATAGTTCTGTATTCCTGGCTTAAGATCCACATTTGTTACCAAGTGCTGTGTCATTGTCCCCTCCATAGTTTTAATGTTTTGTAATGACCTCATGGAGATAGTTGAGTTAGAAATCTTTATGCAGGTGGCTGATGATCTCACGAGGTCCCTTCTAGCCCCAATGTCTATGAAATCTATGAAATAATTGCATTTACTAATGAGATCCAATTTGTGAGGCATTCCTTCATGCATGTGCTGCTGTTTTAGCATGCTTCTAGGGTTATGGCAATAGATAGGAAATAACTGATAGAAAATGTATTGTTTCACTGTTTTTACTGGCAAATGTTTTAGTGTGAAAAATGGATATTTCCTCCCCCAAATCCAATTTCTCTGAAAAATTTCAAAAATGAATCAAAATTGCCTTTAAAACAACCTTCTTTTTATGCTTTTGGTTGCTCAATGACTGTTTAAGCAATGTTGATGCAAATTATCTATATGTACACAGCAATTATTTGAAGAGAGGGAAATAATTTTCTGACCAATTCCAGACTAATTATTCCCCATTTATATGGGGAGAAATGACAACAGAACTCAGGCAGTAGCATGCTATGTAGCTCAGTCTCATCATTAAAATGCTTTTTGGTTACCTCGCATTGAAGCTGGCGGGGGTAACAACTTCCTTTCATTCAGGATAACTAGACCTCTACTGCTTTTTACTCTGTTGACTAGATATCTTCCAAGATAAGTCCCATGGGGCTAGGAATTAGCCCTGCTACCTAAAGTGCATTTCCATTGTAGTTGTCCGATAAATTCAGAGAGGATGGATGTAGTGGATTGGAGCAGTGAGTTTGTGTGCTCGATCAGCTAGAAACACCACAGAAACCGACAGAAAAAATACAGGGAGTGTAGCCCTGAGAAAAGAAATCAAGAACAAGAGGGACAGAGAGAGCTTTTGGGGCTAAGGGCCAGCAAAAAAGTGGCTGGGAACTCTGAGCAAAGAAAATGTCCCCTGCTGTTTGATTTCTGCTGTGGTCAGAGAAACAGCCTGTTGCTACCCTTGCAATAATGCATTGCAAGAAAGAAACCGGAGCAGGAAGTTCTCCTTCAAACTATTAACAGCCCACAGGATGACATTGGGCTAACACTTCAAGTCAGAAAGGGTTTAGAGTGTCAAACATTTCCACTGGTTATGAAAAACGAGTTATTAATTTGTTCTTGGAAAGAATTCATCAGTCTGAGGAAAGCAGATAATGCCTTGGCATACTGATGGTTTGATAAGAGCTTTCTTTGCTGTGAGCAGAAATGTCCTATTTATCAGCTCTTTAATAGTATGATTTTGTTATCAAGGGTACGAAGGGCTTTATAAATCTTGGCCCCAAACAAAGACGAAAAGCTTTTTGTTCCTGTAAAGTGTGTGTGTGTGTGTGTATCCATGAGAGGGAGACAGAGAGCTCTATATAGATCTCTCTAGATGCATGCACGCGCTCACACGCACGCACACACGCACACACACACACACACACGCACTAGAATAATAAACCTATGGAAAATTATAAATATATGGAAAATGTTGACACTGAGTGTGCACAGTGATATGGAAGTGTGGTGTCAGAAGATAATGGAGCTGGAGGCTGTTCCCTGGGCATAGAAGCAGGGAGTGCAGATCACACCGCCCCATGTGTTCTGGACAGGAGTCTGGTGGTGGAGAAACCAAGCACCATGAAGTGGCTCATCCCGGTCCTGGTTTGCCTCCAGCTCTTGGAGGGGCTGGTGAGGTGAGTATCCCGGTGCAGTGATGGACAGAGTAACACTTCTGCATTCAGCTCGGCTGTGTCCTTATGGTCCTTAAAATATCCCACTGAGTAGGAGTTTTGGAAATGCGTGTACAGAAAAATGAATGCTGCTTTGCTTTGGGGGAAAACCTAACTGAGCAGTAAGAAGCACCTTGATATCAAAGAACAGGATCACAGCAGGGTGCAGACAGGCTTGAAGGGTGTTCAGTTTCTGAGCTGATTTCTGGAGTTTTCCCTTTCTTCCTGTGTAGCGTCCCTCTGAAGAACGGCAGATCCATGAAAGAGGTGATGAAGGAGAAGGGAGTCTTGGAAGATTTTCTGAAGCACCACAAATACGGTCCAGGCAGGAAGTACCGTGTCAATGAATACAATGTCGCTTATGAACCAACGACCAGCTACCTGGTTGTGAGTATTAAAACTGCTTCTCTCTTTCTATTTCTTCCTCACTTGTCTCTCTAGGACCTCTTTCTTCCTCTCAGTATGGCCACAAGTCAATAGGAAGTAGTGATTCCTTTTCACAGCCCGTGGAAATCTCTGTTTTGGAACAGTTTGGATGCTGTGCTTTGACGGCAAACTGCCTTTGAAGAATCTAAAGGAACATACTAAGCAAGCAAGTTCACCTTTGAATTTTACAGTATTATCTGTGGTTCTCCTGCTCCCCCCACCCCTTTATAATTCACAAAAGTCTTTATGCTCTCTGGAGAGGTAACATGTTACTCCAATGAAAGCCTTTTAGGATTCAAGATCCCCTGTTCTGCTCTTGGTTTTGCAGTTGAATTTATAGTGACCTGAATAAATTTGCTTTTCATATCCCTTCTTCGGACACCCCATGTTGAAACCAGAAACAGTAATATGGCAGTGACTTCATTCCTTGTAAACCTGAATTTCTTAATGACTCTAAAATGACCATCTCCAAGTGGACAGTGTTGAGAAGGGGGAATTGTTATTTTCGTTGGTTAATAGCACACTGGAATCCACCTCCTCTCGTCTGCAGTCTTCCTACTTTGGAGAGATCAGCATTGGCACACCACCCCAAAAGTTCCTGGTTTTCTTTGACAGCGGTTCCTCCAACCTGGGGTGCCATCTACCTACTGCCAGAGTCAGGCCTGCTGTGAGTCAGGCTCAGCTGCTGTGTATCCAGTAGATACATGTCCTAGGCACGTTCTTGCTCAGTTAGGTAGTCAACCTGTGATTAACACAAGAGAGACCCTACCTCCTCACGCTCTTCATGGGTGCCATTCTCTTGTATCTGCTTTCCCCGTTCTGGTGCTCTTTCCTGGAACATAGATTCTCTTGGTTTTTTCCTTATTGGTATTCTGCAGTATTATAATATTGTTGTCCACATCTCAATAATTGCTGCCAGCTGTGGGAATTGACATTTGACTACTGTACTACTGCACTGGTTTAGATCCTCTGGGCACGTGGCCTAAAATGCTTAGTATAGTGATAGGAGAAACAGGTATGTCATAGGTAGAGAAGATGGGTGTGACAAAATGGTTTTCTAGATGATCTGGGTTGACATTACTTCTCAGGTCTGCCATGAAGAAAGTCCTGGGTCATGTCTTGTACTTGTTCTTTCAAGCCAGCGGAGGTCAGTCTTGGGGAAGGAAGTGCTTGACACAAGTCACAGCACAAGAGAGTGACCATGGTGTCTTCATCTTTCTTCTTCAGCCAGTCATGCAAAGTTTGATCCGAGCCAGTCATCCACCTTTTCCAACAATGGACAGACCTTCACTCTCTTCTGGGAGTGGTGACCTCTGACTGGTGCTGGGCTATGACACGGTGACGGTAAGTGGAATTGCCACCACGTGATCTTGTGTTGTCCATTGTGCTGTGTCTTTGGACTCGTCTGAGCATATTGGGGTTGGACCACCAGGGGTTATTGTTAGTAACTTGTCTAGCATGCATCTGTCTTTCTCAATTTTTGACAGATTCCTCTAATTTTACTAGATGGGGCTTGGAGACAAGCATCTGAGGGAACATTGAGTCGAATCCACCCAACTTGACTCCTTTGACACGAGTCCTGAATAAATTCTCTGTGTTTGAGTTTCATGTTGGCGCCATTGTTACTGTGGGCCGTAAAAAAGGGATTGTGTGCATGAGATATTTGCAGTGGTATAAGAATGTCTGCGCTGTCAGCAAGTTAGCTAAATTTCTGTGTAGATGCTTATATTTCAGGTTAGGAGATCTCATTCGGCTATCTGGGGTTGAGTGGTACCAGATGGTGCACCTGGTGAAGTTCAGCAGAAGCATAGCTACGCCATACCAAAAAGAGAATCTATCCAGGGGGTTGCACCAATTTAACTAAATCACTTGAAAAAGTATTTATGTTAAAACAACGCAACTCTCCAATGGAGACAAGGCTTAAGTTGGCCCGGGCCTGGATTCTGGTGTGGAAAAGCCAGTACTAATCATTCTCGCCATTGCTACTCATGAATTCCATGATTATAATAGTTCTTTATTATTTTGTTTTCAATCAAGATGACGTTCTGGATTTTCTCTCCTGAGACAGCCTGTGCTCAAAACTCCTGCCACTGACTGCGTTAAACTGCCTGTGGAGGTGTTAGAGCAATACTTCACCTTGGGACAGGCTTTATCTGTACATTGGAACATCACTCATCTGTAATGATGTCACAGTCTTTAGGTTTCATTGATGCTCTGTGTACAATTCCAGGTCAGAGCAAATGTTTCCTTCCCCTTCAGATCCCGAATATTGTGGTCAAACCAGGAGTTTGGTCTGAGTGAGGATGAGCCCACCAGCCCCTTCTACTATGTGAATTTTGATGGGATATTTGGAATGGCCTCCCCTTCCCTGGCGGTCGGAGGAGGGACAACAGTTATGCAGAACATGCTGCAGCAGGGCCAGCTGACGGAGCCCGTCTTCAGTTTCTGTTTCTCACTGTAAGGTCTGTCTTCCCCTCTGCACCTTTCCCTCTCCCTACATCTCTTTATTCCAAGGCCTCTTACTCTATCTATATTTCTACAGGCATCTGTATCTGTCTATCTTCATATACATCCCCCTGTTTGATTTGTGTCTGTCTGTATGTCTGTCATTCTGATGTGGCCCTTCCCCAGACCCCTCAATCCAGATATATTTTACATCCTCCTTTTTCCAGCAATATACTGGCTCAGTCGCTGGCTTATGTCTGATATTCTTGTGTTTCCAGACAACCAAGGGGGGGTGCTCTAACTTTGTATCTAGCGGGGGAGATCATGAAACCCCTAGTGCACACCTGCTGAGCCCTGCGAGCTGAATCATCAGGTAGCAATAAAAGAAAGGGTATTGGCAAAGTCAGGAGAGTTGTTCATTGTGAGAAGCAGCACTACTGACCCAATGTAAAATCTGTGAGATTTCTGTAAGAGCAGCATATGCTCTCAGAGGCTGCTGGAGTCTCAACCTCCACCTTGTCCGTTCCTTCTGCAGTTTGTGGTTGACTGCAGCAACATCCAGGACATGCCCACCATCACCTTCATCATCAACGGGGCCCAGTTTCTACTGCCGCCCTCCTCCTACATCTTCAATGTACATAGTCAGGTGCCACCAGAACTGGCTTTGATTTTACCAAGGTGATGAAATGTTCTGGGGTTTCCAGCAGGCAGTGTGCAGAGCATCAGCACCCCAAAAGCTAGATTTCTAAAATAGGGGCCTGATCAGGCCCCACTCAAGGGCCACTGATTATAAGGGGTATTTTATATGTATAGCCTTTATAGCAGCCAACTGGGTATTCACACACCAGCACTAAAGCTTTCTTCACTGCTGTCTCCCTAACAGAACAACGGGCATTGCAGTGTTGGGATTGAGCCCACTTACCTGCCTTCCCCGAATGGGCAACCGCTCTGGATCCTGGGTGACGTCGTCCTCAAGGAATATTATTCTGTCTTTGATATGGTCAATAATAGAGTTGGCTTTGCCCCATCCGCCTAGAGAAACCAGGTTGAATTGGATGGACCCAACTTATTTCTTGGCTTTTCTCCTTGACGCTGATGGATTCCTACTAGTCTCAGCCCAAGCTTCTGTATGAAAATAAGTGTTTTCTAGATCTGTTGTTGTAAATAAACTGCAGTGAATCAAAGTCCCTCTTGCCTTTCTGGGATTTATTCAGGGAAGGTGGACCATGTGATATCCATGTGGCGGTCCACTGGACGGGTACCATCTAGTTCACATGCCTTTGAGAAGTGATGTTCAATTAACGTGATGTCAAACGTGATTCATGGTTAGGGGTAGATTGGGTTCGCCATCTTAATGTTTTGTCAGCCTGAGTAATCGGGAGTTTAAACAAACCCAACTGACATGAGGGAAAAGTTGACCTGATCTACTGCAAACTGTGTTTGATATCATTGCAGCTAACCCAGCTCCTCCCGGGTCACGTTCTAAGTTGAAATACATTTCCATGTCTGTGAAAATCTTGACAAATTAAACAAAATCACCTTCAAAAGCACCTTCTGTACCTCTTTGATGGTATAAGAAATGTCAATGCAAATTAAATATTTGTATTTTCATTGCAATTTTTCTCAGAGAAAGAAATGGTTTCCTGACTAATTCTACTCCACGTTTGCACAAAGGAGTATGACAACAGAACTCGGCCAGTAACACAGTATGGCCCTGCTCCCCTTTCTCGTTACTATTTTTTGGGTTGGGATGAATCGTCTTGAAGCTGGTGGGAGTAACAACTTCATTTTCATTCAGGATAAATGTAGCTCTGTTTTTTTTACTTGCATTTGAAAACTTGTCTAACTTTATCCCAACTATGTAGTTGGTCTGATAAAGGATATCACCCTAAGAAATCCTTGCCTTACATAATTTCTGGGCTATCATGGCTACCACATCACTCTCACACTACGTTTTTACTCCATGAAATGGAAAACGGGAACAGTAGGAGTCTGCTAAAAATCAGTCTCATGGACAAAGAGCTAAACCTGCTACCTAAAGTGGGTTTCCATGGTAGCCTGATGAATTCAGAGGAGGTGGATTTAGTGGATTGGAGCAGTGAGTCTGTGGCACTGAGTGTGGCCCTGAGTAAAAGACATGATGGCTTTTTGGGCAGAGTGCTGGCTAGTAGGAGGCTGTGAAGTGTGAGCAAAGAAACTCTCTCCTGCTGTAGATCCCTGCCCTGTTTAGAGAAACTTTACTAGTGTTTGTAATAAACAGGCCGGCAACACAAAAGCCAGGACGTTAAGCGAGGAGTAGCTATGCCTGACCCTAGCATCAAGTTCTCTTTACATCTGTAACAACCAGCATGATGCCATTGAGCTAACATTTGGGTTAAAAGGGATTGGAGGAGGTAGTTAGAGGTGTTGGTCTGACATCAGACAGAAGGCAGGGCAGGATGGCACTCTGGGCTCTTATCCCATTACCTGGGCTGGGTTATATAATCCCTATGTCCCTCAGCGGTTTAACATTTTTGATCTCTTCCACCCACCTTCGGTGACCCTTCCCTTTCTCTCCCTTTCTCTATCTTTTGCATCGAGATAACTTTACTCATTTCTGGTCTGTACCTCTGCTCTCTACACTTCCATTCATAGCACCTGCCATAGTAGGCTGAGCTTACAAAAACTCAAGCATCTCTGAACAAGTTAGTCTATAAGGTGCCACCGTGCCTTGCCTTCTGCCAAACTCTGAACTAATATGGTGAACTCTCTCTTGGAATAGTTTAGTTAGAGTTAATCCACCCTAAGGATAAGTCAGGGACCTCCTGAGGCGCTTTCCAGCTCTCTTATCCATGTCCCCCTGCTAATACTCAGGAGAGTTAGGATTTCTCTGTGGATCCCATGCTGTCTTCTACCCACTGAATAGTCTGACATCCTCCATTCCCCTTGTGAACTGTTGTTCAAAAGAAAGTCATAGAAAAAGCCAGAGGAGGAGTTAGCTGTGGAACCAAAGGTCCATTCTTCTTTAATAAGAGGAAGGAACAGATTGGATGGCAATGGTGCAGCTATATGCTGGAGGGGGAAGAAAGAAGTACATAACATACACTTGGAAAAGAACAAGAAGCCAAGGAGACATCAGAACAGGCATAGGGAGAGCAGTCCTGAAACAAAGCTGGAGAGGAGGTTTCCTGGGTTAAGTGCTGGTTGCAAGGGGGCTGGGAATTGTGAGGGAAGACATTGTCTCCTGCTGTTTGACACCTGCTCTGTTCAGAGAAACAAGACTTCTGCCATTCTTTATAATGAAGAAATTGTCTCCTGCCTTTGTTTTCTCCTTGAAACTGTACCAGCCCACTACATGAGAAAGTTTGGCTACCAATTTAGATTCAGAAAGGCATCAGAGTATTATAAACTTCCATTAATCACAATGAGCATTGCATTCCTTTTCTTTTGGAAAGAATGGAAGGGCACAGGTAACACTCCTGTGCACCCGCAATTATGATAACAATTCTCTTTGTTACGAACAGTAATCTCCTTCTTAACTCTATGATCTCATTATTTAAAGGCTCTAATGGCTTTATAATCTTGGCACCTGACAAAGAGGACAAAATTCTTATATTTATATAGAAATAAAGTATTTTAAAAATGTTGCCTTTGGTTGAATGTGGTGGTATGAGAAACTGGGGGTCAGAAGATAACCATCCGGTGAGTGGCATTCTCTGGGTATAAAAGTAAGGAACTCCAGATGGGAATTTTCAGCCCAGCTTTGCTGCAGCGAACACCAGCCGATTCCTGTTGGAGAAGCCGAGCACCATGAAGTGGCTCATCCTGGCTCTGGTTTGCCTCCAGCTCTCTGAGGGGCTGGTGAGGTGAGTATCGCGGTGCAGTGCAGCATATAGAAGTTCCTACCAGGTATTAGCCAGACAGGGCAGCACTCCTGCATTCAGCTTAGCCATATCCTTCAGGTTTTTTAAGGGCTCTAATAACTCTAGGCGTTTATGCCTTTGCACATGGTTTTTTGCTTTGGATAGAAACACACTGAGCAGCAAGAGGGTCCTGATAGCAAGGAGCACACTGCTGCAGGGTGCAGGGAGGAACAAAATGAGATCTGCTTGAAGGATGTTGAGTTTCCCAGCTGATGTCTGCAGCTTTTCCTTTCCTCCTGTGCAGAGTCCCTTTGAGGAAAGGCAAGTCCATGGGTCAGGCAATGAAGGAGAAGGGAGTGCTGAAGGATTTTCTGAAGCACCGTAAATATGATCCAGGCAGGAAGTACCACTTGAATGAACTCAACGTTGCTCATGAGCCAATGACCAACTACCTGAATGTGAGTATCGGCTACATACTTGTAAGTCTTCTTCGTGTTACAGAGCCCATGCCTTCCTCTCTCCTTATGGTCCTAGTGCCTAGTCAGTTGAATGCTGTGATCCCTCTTCTCAAACCTTGCAAATGTATATCAATCTCTGTTCTGAAATGGGACAGACCAACTGTCATATTGGAATCGAATGGGTCCTCTGGGTTGCTGGCATTACCCGATGAACACAGGACTGGGGGTCAGTAGGTGTTTACTCCCAGAAGGGGTGTTAGGGTTGCGCTTATAACATAAGACTGGGAATTGAGAAATCAGGACTCTGGCCCTGGCTCTCCTGCTGACTTGATTGGAGCAGATAAGCAGATAGCTGCTCCTCTTCGTGCTTTAGATGTGTGAAAGACTCAATGAAATAATGGCATAATCCTTACTTTGCCCTTGTGAAGTAACTACTCGGTGACTTTTTGGCATCCTTATATGGAAGGAGCTAGAAAATATGGTGTACAATTGATTAACAGCCCATCCGAATCCATCTCTGCACCTGCCTCTTCTTTTCTGCAGTCCTTCTACTTTGGAGAGATTAGCATTGGGACTCCCCCCCAGACCTTTTTGGTTGTCTTCGACACCGGCTCCTGTAACCTGTGGGTGCCATCTACCTACTGCCAGGACAAGGCCTGTAGTGAGTACTTCTCTGATGTTAAGACCCAAGTAGGGCCATGTCTAAGAGTGGGGATTGTTCCCGAGAGAGAGCAAAGTTCTGATTCAGCTGGGGAAAACCAGAGCTACCAAGCCAAACTTCAAACTTTTCTTGGGTGAGAGTTTTTCTCCTGTATCTGCTTGTCCCTGTTCATATGAATACAGTCCTGGTCACTGTTTTCTTATCACAAAGATACTACAGTATCCTAATGAAGCTGTCCAAAATCTCTACAGCTGTCATCAGTGCCACTGCAGCGTACAACACCACAGTGTGTGCTCTAAAACTAAAGTAGTCACCCTGCAAGATGACAAATTGTACGAAAGGACAATTTCTGTCCAGATCTTCAGCTTGCATTAATTGCCATATAGCCCTTTTGTCTCGTATAAAGCTACCCTGTTATACATACTTATATGCTGTGATGATAGGTGTGAAAGACTGATAGATAGATATGCCTTCAAAGCTAGCGTCTGTGGATATGTGGCCTTATCATCAGTGTGTGCCATATAAAGCTAAGCCCTGCGCTAACTCTTAGACCTGTTCTTTAAATCTCTGGTGAATCAACTGTTTAAAAAGTGTGAGCATATGGACAATTAGTGACTAGGCAGGTGGAAGTACCTCCAAGCATACTGCAGCCCACATGGAAGTGACCCCAGGTTGTGATTTTCTTTTTCATCTAGCCAATCATGCAAAGTTCAACCCTAATGCGTCATCCACCTATTCCAGCATTGGCGAGTCTTACACCCTGTGCTACGGCGTTGGTGACTTGTATGTTGTGTTGGGGTACGATACAGTGATGGTAAGTCACGTTTGTATGGCTCTGTTCTCCCATCAGCGTTTGTGCTCCGTCTCTGCAATTGTTTGGCCACGCTCAGATGAAGAACTTCAGGAAGTTGTCAGTAAATTCTCGACTAGCCTGCAGCTGCCTGCAGCTTGGAAATAAATGTGTGATGCATCACTCCAGAATTAAGGGGTGCTGTTCACAGACTTTTTGTTGAGGTTCCTTTTAGGAGAGGCATGCATCCAAGGTTTTCATCTGTTGACATCAGTGTTGTTACAT